GGTATCAAGTGAATCATTTTCTTCTATTGTAGGTTGAAATGTTAGAAGAACATGTTCAGTCTGAATGTAAGTTAATTTTTATATTATTATTAATGTTTTGGTATCAAGTGAATCATTTTCTTCTATTGTAGGTTGAAATGTTAGAAGAACATGTTCAGTCTGAATTCAAAATAATTTTTATATTATTATTAATTATTATAAAATGGCTAAAAGCTTAATTTTGAGGCTAGAGGTAAGATTTATAAAAAAAAAAATTATAAATGCAAATAATTAAAATCTTCGTTAAGTTTGACCCTACTTGAGATATGACCATCCCTCTTTCTTCCCACCTCTTGACCTTTAACCAGCAAAATTTAATAGCATCAATTCCTCTAACAGACAAACCACCTTGTAAAATTTCAGAAATTTTTGACAAAAGGCACAGGGGTTATGAAGATTCAAAGTGGGTGAACAAAATTGTGTCCACCTAACCACCCACACTTCACTCACAGAAAAACCTCAAATTTTGTTTTGCATTTCTTGATGTTTAAAGATCCTCCAAATCAAAAAATGTAGAAATATTTTTTCTTTAAGAATATCAAATAAATGAATTTCTGTAACTAATAATTAAAAAATTTTAAGTGTTAAAATTAAATTATATAGAAGTGTAATTATAAAAATATAAATGCAAGTTGTTCATTAATTTAATTAAAAAGTAAAAAGCTGTTTCGTAAAAAACAAATTACATAGCTGACCACTTTAACACAAATGAATCAATTGCAATAATCCTCTGACCTTCTTTTACAAGCTATTTGAAGAATGATAATGTAGTTGCTCCACTGGATATGCACTATTTACATATTTATAAAATATAAATGCTGACCAGAGAAGTAAAAGGAGGTCAGAAATATTGTTATTGCCTTGTTTAGATTAAACTATCATTTATGTATAAGTGCTTCTTGATTGTATTACAAATTTTACAAAAAAAAAAAATAGTTACAGTAACTAAAACCAATAAATCAGACTTATTATATTCACAGCAAATTTAATTAACTTTTTATTTGTCCAATTTATATTAATACAATAATGCATATTGGACAAATAAAGAGTAAATTAAATTCATTGTCAGTATAATAAGCCTGATTCATTGGTTCTATTTTAATAGTTAACTATTTTGTGTTTTTTTTTAATCATTTATGTAATTTTGTTAGGTAGCAAATTGTCATGCAGCTAGTAAGCACAGAAATGAGCTGTTTTCTGACTACAATTCACACATACTATATAAAAGCAACATTATACCTAAATAGACTTATACACAACTTTTGGAAACTGTATGCATTTATGACCATTACTTTTTATGTTTGACTTACAATAAAACAACTTATAATAGGAGTTACAAAACTGAACTCAATCATAACGTAGAAATGAAGACAGACAATCTAAATGAAATTTCTATAGTCCCCAAATTTTTATAGAAAAATAGACAATATCGGAAATAAAAATGTGGAGATTTAACACAGAACATGTAGATAACAATATTAACTTGTGCGCATAAATAGAAGAAACTTTTGGAAAGAAGGGTTGCAAGATAATGATTGTGAATTTCTTATAAACAAAAACCAACACAAGAAAAAAATGTTTATAAACTGCAAAAGATGGTAAATAAATCTATAGATATTTAAACATCAATGTACTGTAAATATTTTGTGTTCTTTGAAAATTAGTTTATTGGTCTGTCATTTCTTTCATAATATTCATGTTCTTGTTAAAAGTAATAGAAATTTATAGTTACAACATTTACTAAGATATATTTTTGTATTTAAAATTTACAACTTTAGTTTCTTTTTTTTTACTTCACTTTTATGTTAGAATTTAAGGTAATTCTGGTTAGAATTTTTAATTTTTATGTTACTTTTATGAGTTATTGGATGTTAAATTTATATTTAAAAATTTAATGTTCTGATATTCTATATTTTGGACATTCCAAAAGTATGGTACATGAGGATGGCCTATGCATTAGGTTGAAAACATTAGTATATAGCAAATAAATGTATCTAAACAGCCAAAGATGTTTGGTGATGATTTTAATATAGTGTGTGTGTGTGTGTGTGTGTGTGTGTGTGTGTGTGTGCGCGCGCACATGTAAATACATATGTATAAGATCATTTCAATTATATTACTTACTTTTTCAATTCTTCCATTTCATTGCATTCATCTTGAAGTAAATCATGAGGATTTATCAAACACTGAATAGGTACACCAACAGATGATTCAGATTTCGATGCAAACATTGCTGGATTATTAACAATTGTGCCATCACTAACAGATTGTGTTGGTTGGGTTAATGAATTACTGAGAGGTATAATGGTTAACTCACTTGGAAGTTTTGAGGTAGGGGAAGTAATAGATGAATTGGGTGAAGGAGAAACATTGCCATTTGGCGGAATAGTTGATACTATATCTGAAATTCCATCATTGGAAGTACCATTACTTTGTGGTTGAGAATATGATTGAGAACATGACTGTTCACCTTGTTTAAAGGCTGGCTGCATAGATGGCACTGTTTCTGACCTGAGAGAGTTTGAAGACATTCCATTCGGCACTTGACTGGTTGTAGGCAAGCTTGTTACTTTTGTAATTGTAATGCCCAAAGGACTATTGTTATGTCCAGCATCAGGAGTAGAAGTCTCTGTGCTGTGAAGTGATGACGTAGATGTTGGGCTACTATAATGTTGTCCACGTACATTATTTCCATTGGTCTTTCCCAATTCAATGTCTAACCGATCTAGTTGTTCAAAAGCTTGTACTACTTGTTCCTTTGTAATACCGCTGCTTCGCAAGCGGCGAATCAGTTCAATCTGTTCAATGGTAAATAGGGCACCAGCCATAGAAGCAAGAAGGCATACCATACATCCAGTAGCCAGCACTTTCAGTTCCCACTAATATATTTTAACTTTTGTTACATCCTGATCACTTTCTCTGCTAATAGAAAAAACATAAATATAAATAAATAATAGAAATGTAATTAACTGGCCTAAATACCTACAAAAATTAGTACATATATATAAATTTAGCATTATAATATTTCAAAAAGAATATTTTTAATTTACTAGTATTGTTTTATTAACAACTTTATATTTTTTTTTTCAATGAAAAATATCAAAATAAAAGAAAATATTACATAAATTTGTCTTTTTAAAATTAACATATAAATGACTAATGTTGTTCCAATAATTTCTTAACTATAAATTCAAATATTTAGTAATTTAAATTTCAATATATTTTGTTATTGAACCTTTTTGACAGATGTTTACATGTATGCATGTGCACATGCACACACATACAAAATAATATTATAAAGAGGTAAAGTTTGTAAGTTTGAATGTAGGAGGTAATCTCTGAAACTACTCATCCAATTTCAAAAATTCTTTCACCATTATTTAGAATAGACCTTCAGGGTGGACATAGGCTGTATATTATTTCGTTAAACATTCATATAAATTAAAAGATATCATCTAGGTAAGCATTATATTTTTGGTGTCAGTGGGTGGCAAGAGGCAAGACGTGTACGTATACAAGATAAGTAACCGCGTGGCGAGAAACGTAGTGCATGTTTAAGAACTTGTATATTATATAGATGTCGAAATTTCCCACCATAGGGGAGAGGGACAAAATTAAGGATTACCATGAAGAACTTGACTTCCTTTATACTATTTTAAATGTAGTTTTTTGCATTTTTGATTGTGTTTTAGTAGGGTACATCAAGAGAATGTATATTACGTAAGGGATTTTTTGAAATTTCCTCCCACGGGGAGTGTTATACATTTATAATAGATACATTTTGAGCAACAGCAATGCATGGCTAGGTACAGCTAGTAAAAGATAAAGTCAAAAATAAAAAGGGGGAAAACATTAGGTGTATTGCAAGAATAGAAAATCAATTATAAATATTTGTCTTTTTATATAGGAAATTATTGTTTTTGGAGAAAGACAATATATTTCCTAGTTGTTGGAAATGAAATAGTCATTTTTTATTAAATTAAACTTTTTGGCCTTATAGTTCAACTTTTTTCCATGTGAACAGTGTTGTATGTTTACAATTGGAAGAGCCCACACATAATATGTGAATTTAAAAATGTAATCTCATTTATATTGTGAGTTCCACATGTTTAAGAATACTTTTTCTGATGGCATGGATAAAAAGGAAATTGAATAATTTTCTTTTTTGAGTAATGAGCAGGGACATAATGCAGCTGAAGCAATCTGAAATACCAATAAAACTTTTGGTGAAGGTTCTACTGGTGAAGTGAGCAGACTGCCAGAGATTGGTTTAAAAATTTCAAAATTCAGAATTGAAGATCATCATCCAATCAGTACATCACCTGACTCTCCGGGAAATCACAGAAAGGTTGAATGTACTGGACATTATTCATCCATTTCTCAACATCTAAACATGTTAGAGAAAGTCAAGAAGCTCGACAAATGACAAAACTCAGTGGGAGAGATAAGGAGCATCATTTGGAGATCTGCAGTTCTTTAATTAGTTGTCACATAAATGAAAGTATTCAAATGAAACTCTTCTCCATCCACATTATTCTCCACACTTTTTTCCAACAGACTAATCATTTTTTTTATTCATTTAGACAGTTTTTTGGCAAGGAAAGTCTTCAAGAAAGAGGATGCAATAAAAATTACCTTTAATTACTTTTTTCTTCTCATTCTCATGATTTCTATCAAATTGACATTAATGCATTTCTATTGCATTGGGAAAAGTGCATTAATGTTGGTGGTAACAATTTTGATTGAAAATGTAAGTTTTAAATTAAATTGCTAAATGTTCAAAGTCAAGTAAAAATTGGCCATTTCATTTGCAACAACCCAATAATTACCATTTTTTATCATACACTTTTATCAATATCTATACAGGGATGGGAAATCTTTGGCAAATCAGAAGAAATGTTTGGCACCCAACATAAGATTCTATTTATTTTTTTACTGTATAAATAAATTTTATCTTAATTTCAGTTTTTTTTAATTATAATTGTATGTTCAGCTTACTATAATCATCATTTTCTCAGTCAGATTTTTAAAATTTATGCTAATTAAAGTATATTCACTATTTCATTAAAAATAATTGTTCTAACTCTAAACCTTTGGCACGAATAAATTATTTGAAAAATAATTATGCCTACTGTATGGTATACAGATTCAAAGAGGTTTTTCATTTCTAACCTATTCCATGATCAAAGTACATGCTTGTATGAGGCACATTAGAAATTAAATTCTGAATTGGCTAGAAAAAAACAATCTTACTTCTTCAATCTTATGGTTATTGTTGTAGCTGTAACTATGTACTGTATTTTTCTATTTTTCAATATTTTTCACCTTTGAGGTTCGGATATTTGCCATCAAGTATTTGAAAACAATTTATTACATTTTGGTTATCATAAAGACTACCATTTAAAATTTACAATTGCTACAAAGTTAACTAAAATGCATTTCAGAACTTGTATTACCTCTTCAGTTACATTATTATTATACATAAAACCAATAATTTTTAGTAAAAATTATAACAATACATTGGTAACATAAAATTAATCTGTTTTAAACTACATTTGGTATATTTCCTTCAGTCATACAATTAAGATTTGTTTAGTCTATTTTGTATACTTCATATTATGACATTATACATTTAAAATACAAATATATCACGGGACACTTTTTTTTATAGAAAAAACATTTACATTTTATAATCTTCCAATCTTAAAAATATTAATGGAATTTTAAGTTGTAGAATTCCAATACTTTATACATCATTCACAAATAACTTATACTCAGTAATCATCAATCTATACTTCTACTACTTTCCTACATTTGTCAAAATAGAAATAATACACTAAGAGCATGCACACAAATATTGATTATTAAACACCCAGGTATCATACTACAAATATACTCCAAATGCAGTATTAGAAAATGACACACACAAAATATAATATGAGAGAGGCATAATCACAAATAAAACAATTCATCTCAATAGACCTGGCATTACCTTCACTGACAAGTATACTCCATTTTCCCAAGAAATAAGGATAGATAGGGTATTTATTGTACCTAATAGCGAGGTTGCGGCCAACATTTTCATTGCAAAAATGTGTACATCTGACATTCAGCACCTCCTTCCTGTCAGCCTAGAAGTTTCACAATGGTGTTTGGAACATCAGTGGAATCATGCTTGACGTTCCAAACACCATTATCAAACTTCTAGGCTTACAGGAAGGCGGTGCTGAAAGTCTGACATACAAGTTTTTGCAATGAAAACGTCGGCTGTAACCTCTCTATTGTCTTCTCTTCCCCTGATGTTATACAACACACTATACAAAAGCCTAGAAATGTTAAATCTTAATAAAAACATATACATGGCACTATAGAAAGTTACAATATTGAACACAACACATTATTAGGAAGTTTTTATACATTGATGCATACATCAATAACACAGAAGCTTAATGTTACACTTGTTTGGGTAGCTACATCTTGATCTCAGTATGGCAGAACACTTGGCACCAATATCAGCTGTACATAACATTTGCAACATAAAGAAAATAATGAGCAATTATTTATTGTGACATTGTCACAATGCCAGGCTGCAATTTTTAATCATCTTTTAATTTAAAAATATTCATGTATCTTCCATTCCAGACCAAAAGTTCATATGTAATTAGTTAATCAGGGACTGCAGCCACTAAGCTTAATTTTATATATCTGGTCTTGATTTTAGTAGTGTCTTGCCCCTGTATACATCATACTTCTTTTGATAACAACTGAGTCATACCAGTCATCTATCTAACACCATTCTTGAAAAAATTCTGAACTGAAATCAGGTCTGCACATTGCATGTAGTTCATATATAATTAATCAAGGTCTCTGAGCCTTAAACCTTCCATATCTGGTCTTGATTTCTATTCTTAAGATTAATGAAAGATAGACAGACAACAGTAGGAACATATAGGTCTGCAATTTGAAAACTGTCAATTCAAACTCCAATTGGAAACCGTCTTGATGTAAAAAATGTCAGTCAATCAAAAAATAATTACAATTAACACTTTGATTATGAACTTTTTATAAACTGGGTGTCACTGTTGACCAGATTACCACTATAGTTGTGAGGCAAGATCAATTTTTTTGTTTAAAGTTAAACTTACAAAAACTGGTTTTTCACTGAAATGTATGGTTTTTCTCATTTTCAAAGTGGCAAATTTAATATAATACACAAAGGGTTGAAAAACAAGCAAAACAAAAAAATAATTAAAAGATAATTAAAAACAAAATATAGAATACAGAACAGAATAAATACTTATTTTGTTTTATATTTACTTCTGACTCTTATCATTAAATATCATGCTTATTTTATTCTTTAATATTAAGCATTTCAATGTCTTTTCTCTTTCTGAAAATAAAATGTGGAAATATTTCAATTACTAGAGTGAATACTGTATTTTATATTTCCTTATATCTTAATACTTTGTTACACTGCAAGCTTATCTATGATATAAATGATAATTTTATTTCATCAATATGTGTTTTTGCAATAGGGAAGTGAGATTATTTTTCATTGATATAACAACAGATAAACTTTCATATATAGCTAACAAACAGCTAGGCAAATATAGTGAAAGAAGAAATGTAGAGAAAACTATAATTTAACAATTAAAATAACAGTAAAGATTAGATCTAAGCATTTTTTAGTGGATAACTTTTATTTTACTAAAATCCAATGCACAAGTAACAAATTATAACCTAATAAATTCAGGAAACAGCTATGACTATATATAACTGGTGTTCTTGAAAATGATTTGAATATCAAGAATTCAGATAATGAAATGATTTCCATTATTGCTTATGGAAAAATTCTAACTAGTTCTTCAAAATCTATAATTTTCTTAAAAATTAAATTATTTTATTACTCAATTTCAATAAAC